TGATATGCATTTATCGTCAAAATGGCCATGGTATTTAGCGTTAAAATTCATATGAACATGATACATCATGATATTTATTTTCAGAAAATTACTAAACAATTAAAGCAAGTCTCCATAACAACAAAAAACTTGCATTTCTGATATTTTTGTTTTATTTTGAGAGTTGATGGAATGAAAATAAATTCTTTTGTGAAAATGAATATGCTGGAAAAAGAAATTGTTTTACATTTCATGTCATGTCTCATAAGGGGTCTCCACAGAATGTATCTTATTTAGACAGAGCTTTTCACTGTATAGAAAGGGACATCTTTTCCATATTCACATGAAAGCCCTTCTTAAATGAAAATGGCGGAGAAAAACTGAAAGCCTAAAACATATAAAATGGAAGTTTGAATTCTACGTATGAAAGTTGAAATGTTGTGTATTTTAAGATTAAAGAATTTTGAATTATATGTTGCTTATATAGTTCAGTCTATTTCGATATGTTTTAAGATCTTAGAAAATTTTCAATAATTGTTCGAGAAATACCAAAAAATGAGAACATTTCACTTGACCCATCGCTGAAACTGAATATCTCATAATGAAACCAATGACCAATGTTAGATCAAGGACATATTGTTTGAAATGCCAAGGAAAATATTTACTGATTCAATTGTAAGAAGTAATGAAAACTTTCAGACGGTTCTAAAATACATAAAAATCTTGATGAGATGGAAGCAAGGTCCTGAAAATCTAGTTTGGTGTTGGTATGGGAATAAAACAGTTCCATTGAGTCTCAGACTAGTAGGGAATGGTTTATGTAGTCGCCTAATTTACTTGTGGTGGTCTTCGGTTCTCCTGTTAGTTTTTATGTGTGTACTGCTTCCTTTTTGATGGCGTCTGCGTCAATCAGTTCTGGTGATTTTTCCTAATATTTGCTCCGGCCATCAATACTGACTTTTAATGGATTGACACTGATGATTTAGAATATCACTTTCTTATTGATTTTCAAGATCCAGATCTTGTCAAAAATCTCTGCCATGATATTTTGTCCGCACTTTCAAGTCATTATGTTTGCAAGTACCACTTTGGTTTGTGGGCTATTTTTGTTGCACTGATGAAAGCGTGGCATTAATGTTTCAAAAGTTAGAATAACTACACCATACCCTAACATTTATGAATAATAATGAATTTTCAGCACAAATGAGTGTTGGTCTAGGGCTTATCATTGATCTAAATGTATACAATTCCAAATATATTTAAAGCAAATTATACTTCAGATTAAAGTTTGCTCGCATGAAATGTAATAGATTTATCCAGTTAGTTAGAATAATTGCTAAAATAAAATTGGTGATAATATTTATTAGACATTAAAGTTATCAAATTAAAGGCAAACCAGAGAGATAAACTAGGTCAGTTCAGGACTAACATATCTATTTATATTTATTGAGTGCAGGGTTTTTTAACAGTGAAAACCCATGAGGTTATAGGAAGTCGACTTTACTCCAGTCACATAAAAACATGGGATCTAAACCACAACGCTTGCATTGATGACAGAGCTTATGACCTTAATTAAGACCACTCAGACACCCACGTACCTCAAAATTAAAGAGACAAAATATTGTCTCTTGCAGATTAAAGAGACAACCCATTGGGCCAGGACTAAGTATCAAACCACTTTGTTCCAAGTCTTATGATGGCAATTAAACTACCTCTGTTGAGTTAATTAAAAACTTGTAGTATCATATACTATAATCTACTTAAAAAGTAATTTTGCACAGTTTCTTCAGTACAAATATAACCTCAGAATATGCTAAGTATACATGTATTTGATTACATGGAGTTTATTTGTTGTCTCGGTTATTTAATTGCATGTTAACTTATCTGTAGTCAATTTCACGATCTCCTACCCCACAATGAGTCAGACATGAGAGAGTATTTCTTACAATTAATATATTAAAAATCTAGGCTAAGAACCAACAGATGTGATAATTTGCTGTAAATAACTTTTATACCAGGATATACAGTTTATGTAACACCAGAATTTGAAGCATGATATTTTATTTCACAATATCAAAATTGATTTTAGTCATATTGTCATTTCAATTTGAATGGAAGACATGGTGAAAAGTAAGGACAGACACCATTCCAAAAGACACATAAGACACAAAAAAGTCATTAGCATTTGTGGATGTCCGTTTTGAGGCAAATTTGTGTCCGGCAACTGCAAAGTAATAATGGTTTTAGCTGTGAAATTACGTGACCTACAAATTTGTGAGTGGTTTGCAGAGAGTGTCAAGATGCTCTTTCCAATCAAAGCATGTTTTTCTAGGTGGTTTAATGCTTGATTTTCGGTAATTAGTTATAAGGTTATTTTCAATAAGATCTTTTTTAAGATAAATTACATTTATTTTCTTGGTGAGAGTAATAAAGTCACTTCAAGAATATGTAAACAAAACATTTTATTATACCGCCCTATTGAAAAAATGTTTTAACATAGTATTTTTGATAAAACTTTACAATAATGCAAATCTCTAACCATAAATTTTTGTTGAAACTCAATGTAGAATAGATAACCAGCAGAGAATTGTATGGAAACCAGGAATCAGATAATTCAGTTCTATCACAATGATATTAATGCTCATCTCCTGTAACTTTTCTTCAGAGGATGCAAGCATTGTATTAATATGATAAAAATTATGTAGGTTTATGATTTATAAATATATTGGGAATATGAAGACGGTAGCACTGATATAAACTATTTCAGAAAATAGAGGATGTCAATATTCCACGTTTATTGCACACCACTGCAGGATGTGAAACTTTTAGATCAGATCTACCATGTTGAAAAGAGAAAGGAAATGACATTTTGTAGAAAATATTTTATCTTTTGTTTATTCTACTACAGTCTTTAAAAGACATCAGTCACAATTACTTTACTTTTCAACATGGCAATGAATGTAAATATTGAGATAAAGAATTGCTCCTTATGGTATATTTAATGTTGAGCTGTAATCAAGAAAGTTGTGTTTTCCACCCAGAAAAACATGACATTACAATTCAACGCAGTCTTACTGAGTTGCTATACGCTTAATTTAGTTGTTATTTTTGATAAAATGGGTGGATTTGTGATTGTCCGTGGAGGACGCCATGTTCATATCCTTGATTAAAAGTGAAGCCAGGCCACATTGGTATCATGACTTCATGTATCACTGTGATAGGAAATATGTCACTTTGCTTCTGATAAATTACCACCCCCGGGAGCCATTTTGGTATTGAACTTTCATACTTTGGCCTTATGGGGTGTAGAGGTTCTTATTATATTTATTTGGTGTACAGTGATCAGTTTTCTGTTATGTGGACATGCTGGGTAGCATCTTGCTAGGATATTTAATTATAGTAAACATGCTCTGTTGACGTTTTCAATTGTGAGAATGATTCACAAGAAATGTCAAAACTTGTAAAAACAATAAGAAGAATTTATAGTATTTGAATGTTAACATTTGAACTTCGGTTAGTAACTCAAAATTTTTTAGAATACACATATATTTGAAATGGTTTCAGAATGTATTCGTTATTAGTTAATTAGTTGTGACCAGGTGGGAATCATTGATGCTCAAATCCTGCTAGTTTTCTTTTACAGTGATTAGTTCGCTTTGCCAGTAGTTGTATATCTAATTTTTTTATCTTAAAAGATCCCGAAGAATGAAAATGTGATCTGTTTGTAATATTAAACTCCATAGACCAACAACAGATCTGGTACATATTCAATCACAGGACATTGTTGGAAATTATTATTTATAAGACAATAGGTGGAAACACACTTTTATAAGTAAAATGGTAATCCTAATAATAAGTAAAAAAGAAAACAAAATTTATAAATAGCAGATACAAAACCACATTAAAGGTTTATTATTAAAATAATAAACAGTTGCAGATGTTTAAAAACACTTTAGATGGGAGTTGGATAAAGAAAATGAAAAACAAAATACTGATAAATCAGGTTTAAAGAATTCTTGGCTGTTATATATACAGATACAATTCAGAGGAGAACAGTAGGACGTTAAACTCCATTTCATTTCATTTCTCTTATGTATTCTTTTCTAAATGGTGTCCTGGTATGCTGTGAAAAAAACCTAAATCTGATAAATACAAAAGATGAAATTTTCTAGTTAAGTTAATTTGGTTATGTTATACTAGAATGAATTTTCATACCATGTTAATCAAAATCGCCACAAAATAACCAATGTGTTCCAATAGACTGAAACGCTTATTATTCAAAATAGTATTGGAATGTTTCACTCCCTGATGAAGCTAAATAAACTTTAGCTATATTATCATAACATCTCATACTTCAACAAAGTTTTCAATTCGCACATCAATGTATGAAAAAAATAAACATATTTGGCTTTAACTATATAGGTTCACCAAATTAATATTTGTAAGCCCCCCTAATGTGTAGATTGCCTTAGTTAAAAAATTATCCAATTTATCTAAACGTAGTGAAATAAAAAAAATGAGTGGCCCATATGTATTTATTTGCCCTGAAGAAATCATGTTTCAATATTGCGTCTGAGATAAGCTATTTTTTTTACTTATTCAATATTAAATACACATGTTCATATGTAATCGTACAAGTCTTGGAACTCACCATTTTGTGTTCACGGGGCAAAGATAGATTGATACGCAATGAATCAACTATTATTCACCATAGATGTTTAAGACAGGTGATACGTCTCTATACCTTAACATAACATAGTCAGGATAAAAAGACATGGTAGAAAGGGGAAGATTTTAAGCCATGACAGAAGTGGAGATTACTAAATTTAGGATAGTATACCAAACGGGCACATGGTGTGGATATCAAATAAACTGATAAATATCTTTGCCTTCCTGAAGTTAACATGTAGAGGCACATTTAACTTGATGGTTTATAACGAAATGAAAGAGATCCACGGATTTCACCGCTTCTTCTGTAATAACATCAACCCCATTTTTATACAAATTTCTCATTATTTCAGAATCAGGGATGGAGAATGCCAAAAAAGCAGGAAGTTGTGTTGTAGGCCAAAAGCTGGTAATAGTTATAACACTCATGTCGATAGTCTTTATTTCTCGAGGTAAGATACAGCTTAACGCATCCATCTGTTACAAAAGATCTAAACTTCACTCGCTTTGTTTAGATTAACGTTGTACTTACTGATGATTGAACAACACCAAACTACTAAAACTAATAGCCTGCTTTCATCACCTTACCAGTTACAATAATACTGAATATCCCACTTCCAACACCAGTTTCATAAAATAAACTAGCCCTTTCCTGTCATTACTAACATAACATGGCTGACACACTTCAAATAATGAAAAACTCATCATATTTATTTTTATCATATCCCAGTTATACAATAAACAAAAGCCGTTTGTTAATAAAGACTCGCTATGAAGATATACTCTGCTATCTTGGCACTTTTGTCTGATGTGCAATGTATTTTCGGCAACCATGAATAGAACAAGAGCTGAAATCATTAAATAGATATCTTCTAAAGTTGCTTCTTGTTCCAGAATTTGCATCAGTTTTCAGTAACAGTATAATTACATGCCGTATCACAAATCAAAAATAATGTTTCTGAAACAATGAAAGAAGTCAGTCTTATTCTCAATGGAGAGAGAAATGGGGTTCAACGTACACTTAGGCACAAACAAGGTCATTTTGGGACTAACATATGGTTCAATTTTATTTCAATAATTCGCTTGCAACCAGGGACCTTAAGCAGTGGGAGGAAACCGGTGGACCGGGAGGTTCGACAGGTGACCCTACTCTTCGTCACGTACAAGCTAGAAATCGAAACCATGCTACTTGACTCAATGACAGACCTTATGATCTAAAGTACAAACATTAAACTATTCTTCCACCCAAACTCCCCAGATGAATAAAAATCAATAGCTACAAAGTTAAATTTTATGTGAACTGGAAATAGAAGAAAAATCAAGTCACGCAACAGTTTTCTGGTCAAATTTAGAATTTAAACGTCAATGCAAATAAAAAAGGCCAATAAACGAAATTATGTTCATTGATATTTTGAAAGATATTCAACATTTTCTGTTTAATTGTGATACATATCTTTTAAAATCATGATTATTTTCTTCTGAGACTTTATATTTGTATTGAATTACAATGAACTGTGTTTGGCCTTGTTTATTGATTAATATCCCATTAAGAATTTTAAGTCTAGACTCTATTCTGAAATGAAAAAAGTGAAAATGATTGGAAAAAACACCCGATGAAAAAAAGATGCACAATTAAAGAACTTTACAATTATTTGGAGATTTTTCTCAATTCCATGGAGGATCCATTATTTCTTCCCTAGAGAAAGAATTGTGTCGAAAAGCTAGCCTTTTCTTTTCAGTAGCTGAGTTTTAAAAAATCACATTTAATTGATAGGAAAATGTCAATGGTGAAAATAGACTCATCGTTGTAGATGTGTTAAGTTGAACCTGTAGGCTTTCGCTAACTATAAGCGGTGTGGTAAATGATAGGTTTCTCTGTATAGGGTCAATAAAAGCCATAGTTTCCCAACCAGACACCGATATAATGCTTTTCTAACAACAGACCCGACTCCACCATTTCGGTTCAGTAGGTCTGTAAGTATTATCGGAAAGTTAGTAAACATTCATGTTGCGTTTTGAACACTCATTGCAGTTGGCCAAAAATAGCAAAAATTGCATCGGCAACATGTTTTTTTGACGGGCTGTGAAGGAAAATGTTTTCTATCACAGGTTATTGGTTTAACGATCTTGGTGAATCCAGCTAGCCAGTCGGCCATCTGTTTATCAACAATTAAACCAGCTTCATCCTCCGCTAATCATGGGCGGAATTTGCCAAAAATCAGTATACCCTTAATTAGCCAATTATTTCCAGCCAATCGTAAGAATATATCTTTTTACAATAACACAACTATCATTTCTTTTTAACTTGACCATTTCTCACCTGCCAAGGTGGCAGAAGATTTCAACGAAAGAAAATATCATCGTAGATAAATATATTTCCACATGTGTCTACAGGTTCATTTGATGAATTGTCAGAATTTAACAAATATTTGGCTCTAATTTGCAACTCAATTTTTGTGTTGGTATTTGATGGCTACAAGATTTACCAGACATATTACTGTGTTCCTAGTCAAATTGGCATTGGCAGCTTTCTTAAGAGTTGTTATTTTCTTTTTTTCCTCTTCTAATTTTTAGACATTTATTTGAAAGATATGTTAATATGTGTATCTTATACATGTCAAAATATAAGTTTTTTATTTTAAATTAATTATGAAATAAAAAGGTTCTTTATTTAGTTAGTGATGATAAACAGATCAACTAAATAAGTTAAGAGAAATAACATCGCAAAAAGATAATCATAATCTGTATACAAGTTTAGGCATAATTTCTCTTTAATGTACATTTAAGCTTCGTCCATGTCCATGATAAATTTGTATGAATGAAAAACTGTTATACTTGAAGAAAGACACAGGAATAATTTTTCTATAAAGTATTTCTATTTTAATTCTGTAAATGATTCATATTTACTCTAGTTTTAGCAAAGATCTGATCCCTGTCTTGTACCATACAATTATTGCAATCAATAGGATTATCTGTCGTCACTAATCTTATTTGCTGGTATGGTAATATAACTAATAATATTCTACAGAATTCTATCATCATAATATTATTTCTAATCACAGAGATATCCAGCCATTCATAATCAACTCAAATGTCAAGCAAACCCCGAGTAGAAATTAGCAAGATCAATTGCTTTTAGTTAATAATTAACAACCAAATGAAGCTGGCAAAAAATAATTGAAATATTAAATTATCATGACTCATATTTTAATGGTACCAAGATTGAATACAGCTGAGTCCAGTTAAACAATAGTGTTTCGAGTGGTTTTATTTGCATGGAATGATTCCTCTTTAAAGTCTCTATCATAAAGTCTTGACCAACCAGTCACTAATGACTGTATTGTACTAAAAGACTTCTATTTTTCTTCTCATAAGCTACTCAACTCATCATGGAGTGTAATAACATGCAATAACTTTCTTAGGAGTGCATTAAGAGTGGCTTTTTATAATCTCTTGTGGATTTAGTACCCACTAAACCCTCAGAACTCTTCCTCAGTTTTTTCTCCAAGTCAAGGCAATTTGTTGTGTCGAATGTGTTTTGGTTAATTGATATCATGTGAGTCACAAAGCCAGTCAGTCCTTTTATTATTATCAACATGTAAAAGACATTTTCCAATATGGTAACATCATATCAGCTGACTTAAACACAAAAACTTAACCCATATCTCCCCACATCACCGAGCATTGATGCATAAAAAAATATACCTTCAATTACTTTTGCAGGCAATGCCACACAGAATTTTATAGTTGAACCACAAAATACTTCAGCAATCCAGGGCAGTACTACAATATTAAAGTGTACAGTGTCTGATCGCAATGGCCAAGTACAGTGGACTAAGGATAAGTTCGCCCTGGGCACTGATCGTAATTTAGAATGGTATCCACGTTATTCAATGATAGGTACTGATGCTCCAGTTGGCAGACCATATGCAATAGGTAAGTCTGGTTATATTTTAAAAAAATGAGAAATGGTACTAGATATTTGATAATATCTGTAAATAGTTTTACATTGTGATTAACACAGCTATTGCAGTGTCGAACCAATACAAACAATTGGATTTTTAGTCTCTTATATTGCAAAAAAAGTTCTATATAAAACACCTTATGATTTAATAATGTAAAGGTTAATTTTGCCAGGGTAGTGTCATTCTAGCCAAAAGATTTGGTTTAGGACCATGCTTTTAATTCCATCCAAACAACTATTTTCTTTGCTATGATTTATACCAAGATGATGTGGCTTCACTCTACTCTAATTTTAATACAAATTTACAAACAAAACAGATTGGTTCATCTTGATACTAAACTTATCAATAATAACTGAATACGTAAATCACAATGTTTTGGCAGACATGAGGTATATATACACCTCATGACTAAAAACAGATAACAAACACTATGACTAATTTAAAATATTTTAAGTAGCGACAGAATACTACTGCCACAGTAGGTACCGCCTTCTATCATTCTATCAAAATACAAACCATATGTATGAAAAATACATACATATATTCATAAAAATACAAACCAAGTTATCAGGTGATAAGAAAAGCTTTTATCTCAAGTGCAGACCATATCATTGAGTTAGATTAGCACTCAGGGGGTATATGTTCTGACCGCAGGTTGGTCCCTCCAACCTTTTCATACAGCCACTTAGATAGTAAAGCACTTGAATCCGAGGTTAGTGGTTGTATGTTTTGACAGGAAAACTGTAATTTTTATTGCGTCTGCTCGTTGGGTGCATCAATGAATGTAGTGGGTTGAACAGCCAATTTGATAAAAGTATGTACTTACTGGTAAAATGCACCTTTGCAAACCTCCACAAGTGAACTAAGAATAATAATAAGGAATTTCTACTGACCCATTCAGTCTATAGAAGCAGTGTTCAGATAAACAAATTCCATGATATTACTTTTATGCCTTTGTAAGTGGGAAGATGCTGAAAATGTATTTTGACAGTATTCAATATGGCAGCAAACTGGATTTTGTGCATTATATTTTTGGGGGTGTTAGAAGGCAGATTATTAATCTTGATTTACATAATAACTCAATAAAATATTAATTGAAGGTCCATTTTATTAAGATTGTATATTTGTGGCATCAGGTTATATGTAACTCATTCTCCCATTTTAAATGAAACATCATTTTTATTTCATCGGATATACAAAAACAGAAAGAACCTAAGGAGAAAACTGACACAGTGGACTTTACTTAAATATCACTGACAATTTGAAACTCTTATCTTAATGTACAGAAGCTCTGTTTGGCATTTGCTAGGATTTAAACTCAAGATCTCTCCTAATACCATTTAATGCCATGCTAGGTATTGCATGATAAACCACACTTACAATACTACATCAACATATATAATGAATGATTGAATAAAATGTCTACTTAATACATCTCTGCGTTATTTATAGATAATGAATGCTTTTGTAAGATGGAACTATTAACATTACTAAGACTGTAAAACAACTTTATGTTCCATTTTAGTGATCAATGAACTCATTTGTATGGGGTTTCTTGTCTGTTTGTTTTGGCCGAAATGAATCTTATACTGCATTCTCATGAATTTCCCTAAACTTTTTTTATCAAAAGTTTTAAAGTGTGCATAATAATTTTTGTTCACAAAGTTCACATTGCCAATAAAGTTTGATAAATTCAGTTAGCAGTCTCTGTTACAGTGTTGTTCTACATTTTTGTTGGGATAGTTTTTTGGTCAAGTGATCATTTACAGGAATTGTCTGAGTTATTCTGGAGAATAGAATTTAACTGCTTTCACATTGTATTAATTCCTGAATATCCAGGAAATAATTCCACAATGAACCCAATTTTAATCTGAACCTTACTGTTGAATTGTGGGGAAATAGACTTTTTGAAACATTGTTTTCTGAACTAACCAATGTGAACACAACCTGAATGACACATTCTTTATTACAAATTGCTCTGGTTTGTTTAATTTATCAAACTAAATCAGCCATTCTTTAAAACATATCTTGATTCCCAAAAAAGGCGTTTCTCCAGAAACTTATGGTACTTTAAAAGCATATCTCCATATATCAAGCTTCCAAAATAACACTTGAAGTACAAAAGCTCTGAGTTACCCCAGAAATCTTTTAGATTGTATTGCTCCATAACCTGAAATAGGCGATGTCATATCAAAAGAGAGTAATTTGGGCTATGGACCCATTGCTAATTCTGAGTCAGCCGGGATTGATTCATATTGAAACTGATAGGTGGATTGCTATCAAGCATTTGTATTCAATTATAACACTTTCTAACTTTTGTTGAACATGGTTTATTAGTCATCAGTAGATAAAGTTTATGATGTGATAAAATAATGCAATGAAATATTGAATTTGATTATGCGAATGATGTCAGTATATCTTATATGCAAGTAACTTATCAAAAACATGTGGCCAAGTAACAAATATAAATTGAATCCCAGGATGCAATAATTTGAAGGAGAGTTTGATTATTGATACAAACCAGACGGCACAACACTGGTACTGACCTCTAGTGTTAGTTTGTGAAACCCAGTCCTGCAAGCCAAAAAACACATATATATCTTTATACATAAATACGACGGCACTGTTCATGGATTATCATGCTGTGATGGCAGACTGATTCGTGTGAAAATTCAAAAAGACTGTGGTCTGTCTGAAAATAATATGTAGGCTAATGATATATGTAAAATATGAGTATGAGAGTTATGTAAAGTTATTGAAATACACTAATTTGTCTGAAGCTGAGTTTTATTAAGGTTTTTTTTTTTTACCAGGCATTCACAGCTTGTTCTGATATAACATAGCAAGTAATATAATATACTGATAATTAATGGATCTTACTAAATACAGGTGTAACATTATACATGTAGACTGCAGTTTTACTGAACTATTGTATTTTTATATGCCCACATGGAAATGTGGTTGTATATTGCTGTTGCCCCTGTCCCTCCGCCTGTCCGTCTGTCCACAATTTCTTGTGAACACTCTACAGACTACATTTATCATCTGATTGTTTTGAAACTGATATATGTTGTTTGCATTAGTGAGATAAAGAAGCCTATTTAATTTCAATAACTTCCGTTAATTACTTCAGGAGTTATGGCCCTTGTTTCACTTTGTTGCACCTTGTGAAGGTTCTAATGACAATAGTTATCAACCGTTCTGTATGGAATTTATATGCATCGTTTAAATTAGTAAAACAAAGAAGCCTATTGAATTTCAGCAATTTCCGTTTATTACATCTAGAGTTACGACCCTTGGTTTACTTTGTTGAATCTTGTGAACGATCTAATGACAACAGTTATCATCTGTTCTGTATGAAATTTATATGCATCATTTAAATTAGTGGAACGAAGAAGCCTATTGAATTTCAGCAATTTCTGTTAATAATGCAGTGAGTTATGGCCCTTGTTTCACTTTGTTGTACATTGTGACTGCTCTAACGACAAAAGTTATCAACCGATCTGTATGAAATTTATATGCATCATTTAAATTAGTAAAACGAACAAGCCTATTGAGTTTCAGCAAATTTCTGTTAATTACATCTAGAGTTATGGCCCTTGTTTCACTTTGTTGAATCTTGTGAACACTCGAACGACAAAAGTTATTACCCAATCTGTATGAAATTCATATGCATCATTTAAATTAGTGATATGAAGAAGCCTATTGAATTTCAGCAATTTCCGTCAATTACTTCTAGAGTTATGGCCCTTGTTTTACTTTGTTGAACCTTGTGAACGTTCGAACGACAAAAATTATCATCCGATCTGAATGAAATTTATATGCATTATTTGAATTAGTAAAACGAAAAAGCCTGTTGAATTTCAACAATTTCTGTAGATTACTTCCAGAGTTACAGCCCTTGTTTTAGTTTTTAGAACCTTGTGAACCCTCAAACGACGAAAATTATAATTTCATCTGTATGAAATTGTCTATTAATTGACCCTAATTACTACAAAAGAATAAATATGCGACAACCCTTGTCGACCGCCCGGACGATTTAGCTGCTGTGAGCATAAGTTTTGTTGCCTGGCAACCTATCTTTAATACATTTAGCAATGGTATATTTTCCGTAGACTTATAAGTTGGGGTTTACATTATGTGATAAAGGAATTCTGAAAATCAGTATTTACAGAATTAGTGTTTGTTTCATCCAAACCTTGTGATTGATCTACAGATCTAAGTTTTTGAGATTTTTTTATTAATGCTTGCTGACCTTGTTTGACTGATAATATGAAATCAAGCTATAGAATTAAGAGTAATGCATCAATTATTTGCAGAGTTATAGCAGAGACTTTTGTCAAACTAGCTTGGACTATTTTACTAATTGTAGAGATAAAGTCTTCAGTCACATACTGACTGACTGACTTATTACCCTTCTCATCAAAACCTTATTATTGCCCTCTGGTCAGAGATTTTGTGATTTTTATTGTGAATTTGTTGGCATTTTTGACTACTTATAGGATGGACCCTATTGAACTTCAGGGTTGACTGTCAATTATTTATGGAATTGTTGCCCTTGTCATTGAAACCTTGTAGTCAATGCCAATGTTTTTTCAAAGTTCAAACTTGCTCAGATTCTGGAGACATTAAAACTTTGACAACTTTCATAACCATCCTGGACAATTACCCACAGGCAAAAACCTCAAAAGTGCTAACGCCTCTTTAATTTACTCAGTAATCATCAAATTTAAAACAAAAATATTATATTTTTAAGCAATTAGTGAAACTATCTAGCAATACAAATTGTTAATCATGAATGTTTTAAGTGGGAGCGTAATCATGTCATGGTGAGATCATCTTCAAATAGTCAAGATATTTCTCTTTTACAAATTTATTATGCAATCCAGCTGTGTGAGTGGGCTGATCATGAGTGTGTGAAGATGTCAGATTTAATTAGCGTTTCATTTACAATGATGATACTGGAATAAA